GGTGAACTGTGCTGGTGCTGGGGTTGTGGCTGATGGTGGGGTCGGTGGTGCATCCACGTCCACCACACGCTCACTGGTGGGCTTGTTTCCATTCTTAGTGTCCACAGATAAAAACTCTTCAATTAACTCACATGCCGAAGGCTCTGTAAATGACATTTGATAATGCACATATTAATTATAGGTAGAAATCGGGAGAACATAAACCAGGACTGTTATACTAACAAGTGTGTATATACTGTACAAGTATAGAACCTGTATAGGTTCTTATGAGATTTTAATACTTTAGATAATAGTGTTGGCTATTAAAGAATTTTATTTACCTGGATTTGGTTTGCTCAGATGTTTCTTTAGTAAATTCGGGTCCAAAAGAAACTCAAACCATAGAATCGTATCTGGAGATATAGGCACGGTGCCAGGTCGTAACAAGTCCACATCCATTATTTATTTTTACAATTTTATCATTTTATGACTATACACAATATTGTTAATACTACGGGTTTTGAGAAAATTATATTTGGCTTCAGTTATATACTTTTTGTCACTATATAAGTATTTAAATTGAAGACATAAACGAAAAACACCACCGCATCTTATAAAAACACTGAATGACACAAGAATCAAGAATGAACGAACAATAAATGACATGCATGCTTCTGACAGTTAAATGTCAACTTCAATTTTTACCATAAGGTTTTAATTTGGATAAAGGTCTTTTGAATTTTATTTTTAAATAATTTTAGACTTTTATTAAATAGAGATTTTCAAATCAGAATTGTACAGCATAGGTTATGAAAATATTCAATATTTGCTGCAATACTTTACTACTTCAATTATCATGTTCTTAAGGAAAAACGAATGGCGCGAATATTTGAACCTGATATTTCAAATACAAATACCTACATTAATTTAACTATAATCTGTAAATACTACTGCGTGCCCTAAATATGAAGTATACCTAATACTTAAGTTTATATGATGGTTGTAAGTCTGGCGTTTCGCATAACGCTAAACGCAATAATTTCTCCGGCTAATGCATTTACACTAACAGCCTTTATGTATGTAATTTAAATTATAGCTCCAGTTCGCTGTTTCGTAGGTTTCAGATACAAATTATTTAGGACTCAAGTTTCCGTTTTCATTATAATTTCAAAATTACCTTTTGTGTAGCTACAATGTACAATGTACAAACTACTAATCTAACTAACCTACGTATGTTTTTGTTCTGACTTATAAGTTTTATAGGAATTACGTAGGCACCTGTGTTATCTACTCGATAAGCAATATCGGCACTTCATTGATTGGTACAAATACTGTCTAGTTTAGGAAGTCGATCTATGTAGTAGCGGACTGAGTAAATATATTTATTGTGCCTAGAGTGAATACATAAGAATCTAAGTACATTCCGATTAACAAACGTTTATCAATAATCTTAGTTAGATCACCCTTTGATTAGTGCTTGGTAGTAATCATACATTCTTGTATTGTGTGTGAAGGACTTATCAGTGACACTTGAACGTTATCACCCACGTCGTATTTTCTAAACAAGTGAGTTTTTATATTATTTATTGATTTTATTTATTTTGAAACAAATGTGTCTCAATGACTGACCAATGAATTCCTCTATGACAACAGTCAAATAAAAATGTTGTGTAAACTACAGTATCAATTTTCATTATTTATGCACATTTTTCTTCGATTACACAATTATTTCATTGCGAATTGTAGATAGGTATCGATTAACAAAATTTATATTTTGGCAATGCACCTTGAAACTCTTACCTACTTAGGTACTTATTTTTTCTACTATTATGTACCTACCTACCAAATTATTGAATTATAACCGTGGCTTATACTTACCTATCGATTGTTATGGGGAAAAAGCAAAATGCTAGAGTTGGTAATATTTTCGTGGCGCAAGTAGGTAATACATATACCTACATATATTATTAACTTATTTACTTAAATGCGGAAATATCGTAATTATGTATGTGAATCATATAGAGATACTACTTAATTAGTGTATCATTAAAAGTTATAAGATTTTCCCGTTATTGATTTTCCTTAATAACGAAAATGGTCCAACTACCTATATTAGGTACTTAATTGAAAAGCCTGTCTGTCATACGAGTAAGAGGACACGACTAGAACCATGTAGATACCTACCCAAATCATTGTGTTATGGATCCATTACTGAAACTTTATATACCTATGTAATCTGTAATCTTGCAGTGGAGTCAAACAACGCTTATCAACCAATATCTACGATCACGGATAATACGGCGGGCATCGAGATGGAGCTCCTGCAGGTCGGCTCGGAACCGGTCGGCATACGGTGCCCATATTGCTACGAAGATGTCATGACGAGAGCCCAATATAAAAACACCACACTGACGCATACAATTGCCATTATTTTAGGCATATTTTTTTGGTGAGTAATTCTTTATCAAAAAGATTTTATTAGTAATTTTAATTTCATTTTCGGCCAAATAGGTAGTTTTAGGAAACTCTTTTGATTAGCTATTGCTTTACTTTACGGAGTTTACCACCTAATGACTTAATTAATCTTTCTTCATATTTATGTTTTCTTAATAATATAATGCTATAATGCACTTGACCGAGTGGGGTCAACAGACCACGTTCTACTGGGTGATTCATACATTGACTAAATAGTAATTACGTAGGTACCCATAATAAATACAGTAGTTACATTTAGCGGTTGAGGTAATAACCGTCGTGTTACGTGCCGTGTTAGGTACTGGTCGACTTATGATTGAAATTAATTATTCCTATTGATTTAATTTTTGACATTCGTTGTAGAGTTTCTGTCAAAAACTTAGGTAGATTCTAATTTCGGCTATTAAACATGTTAGTCGCGATCCGTGTGATCAAATAATTTCAGTCGTAAAAAACTACGTTATAAACAATCGACTTTAACCCCTCTTTTTTGAAGTCAGTTAATTTAGAGGTATATACTTAAACCTTCTCCTAAGTATAACAAACATTTATCTAAAAACCGCATCAAAATCGGTTCAGCCAATCGCGAGGTAATCGCCTCGTACATACTTACAGGTCAAACTGAGAACCACCTTCTTTGATGTCGGTTAAAGAAAAAAAAAATGCATTTTTCCGCCTCGTACTTATATATATTTTCCGACATGAAAATAATGCTGTTAAATACTTCGTTGCGACGTTAAACACACTTTTAAATTCAAATTAAGTATGAGTAATGATTTAATATTAATAAATTAAGATCCTACGATTATAATTAAGTGTGAGAATTGTACAGCGTAAAAAACTAAGCCGAAAATAGAAATATTTTCGCATTTAGTTCGCGTTATTTTGGCTTACCACTTATCTGTTAATGTATCTAATTGCAATCGTCCTTCGCATTAGGCCTTATACACTAGTAACGCTGATTAATATTGATGTACTAATTGCACCCGCAGCTGAACACACACGACTTACAAAGCGCATTATTTCAATGCATTCAACCTACATAGTATAGACGTGTAAAAAAAAGGAAAAGTGCCTGATAATAAATATCAGGCACTTTTCCTTTTTTTTTATTTCTAATGGAAATTGTTTATCGAACTCCTTCAAGTTTAATATTTTTTCTTTTTTTGTCAACAGGTGGTTGTGTTGCTGTATAATTCCTTACGTAGTGAAAAGATGGAAAAACGTAGAACATTATTGTCCGAATTGCCGCAGGTATTTGGGAATGCATAGCAGTAGAGCAACCATATTGTGAGATGCACAGGTACATCCAAAGCTTGCACGGTTTACTTACCGCCCCCAATTTTCATAAAAATGAACTTTATTGTGACGAAATAAAGATGGTGTGCAAGCCGGTTTGTTTCGAATATTCTGTTCTATGGATGTGCAGTTAACGGCTTGTTATGTTGTACTTATCATACCTAAGTTGTACCTAAATATAAATTTAATATCTCTGTTTACGTAGTGATAGAAGTCTGAAATTCAAAATGAGTCCCATTATGGTACAATTATATATTTACGTAATTAACCATAATATATTTTAATATTTTTAATTATAAACAGCTAATTACATTTTGGTTTTACCAGATAAGTCATGAGTTATCTAAGTACGTAATGAATATGTATAAGTGTAGGTAACTATATTCCATGTTATTTAAAAAAAATATTATTGGCATAAAACCAGTACATAGTTTTCGATGAGTAATTGAGTACCTAACTAAACTATTAAATAGTTTAAACATGGTAATGTGGTAAAATGTTTATTTACCTGAAGTAAGGAGATATCTGCGTAGTTTTAGAAAGTAAAAGAAATGTATTCATCTATTTATTTATAAAATTAAATATAATTAAGTAGAAATAGTACAAAAACCCTTGAAAAGTTTATCACAGAATGAAATATACAAAATTATATAAAATTACGTTATAGACGATACTTTTTATAATATTAATTTATATTTTTCATAAAATGTACTTAGGCTTAAGTTATTATCTAACATAAAATAAATTATAAATTCGACAAGCATTTGGTCAAAAGATAATACATAATTTATTGATAAATCATTCGAGCATTTTATTTTAAATTAGGCAATGAGATATTTAGTTGGAACTGTCATAAATTCATAATAAGCAGAACTATACGATATATTAGTAGTATAGACCTTATCACATTATATTTGGGGTTTCCAATTTCAAATATATAAAATGTAAATATTTAAATTAACAATTTTCTTTTTACGTATTTTTATAATCTATACCTTCTCATTAAGCAGTAATTAACATATGATTTTTAGCGCAGACCACAGGCAATAAAATGTTAAATAAACCAACTGGCTGAATGGGTTACTTAACTATTGAGAATTTGAGATACATCACATGAGATTTTATATTGTAACACATAAAACTCCAATATTATATTAGTTAATCCTACTAGAAATTTAATTAGAAGGCCTAGTGTTCGTTCTTCTTACGTTAATGAGATTGAAAGGTTACGGCGTTTAGCTCTTTGATTGGTTGGTTTATTGAAGCTGGCCAATCAGAGCGCCGAACGTCATGAATTTGTCGATCGCGTTGACGTAAAACAACTCGCAATAGGCCCTCTGTTGCTATAAGCGACTACAGCGCCTTCGTGAGTAGATGTTTTATTTTTCTAGTTAGCATACGTAGGTATATCTTATTCTATAATAGTTTAATATAAAAGATTTAATATAGTTCTTGATTGAAGAAGGTGTGTAAGATCAAGACGGTGTGAAGGATCCGATGAAGGCTTTGCATTGAGGACAATAGTGGTTGGCAGTCTTACAAGATCGCATGCAGTAAGGCACGAAGCAGCCGCAACAACATCTGGAAATAAAACAATGTGATAAGTATCCAACAATATTAACAATTTAAATCGGCAACCGAATGCCCCGCAATGTGGTTCGTTTTCCGCACGGAGCAAATCTTTGTGTGATCAACAAATTCTTGTTTCGAATCTGGGCGTCATGTGTAAGTGAACTTGTATGTTTGTAAGTGCACCGACGATACAGAAGAAAATCCTAGTGTGGGGCCACGGTAAAAAAAAGAAACATTCCAAAAGGGCTCCGAATATTGTGAGCCCAATCAGATTTAATGGTTACTTAACCCAGTCCTTGGTCTTTACGGAACAAAATCAAAAATAGTTTAAGTAATCATTAAACTTGTCTGAGTACGGCAGTAAGTCGGTGTCGTCTACAATAAGGCAAGGAAAAGCCCAGATCAGGGATCGTACAAATAATAATCATAAACTCGTTTTTTAATTCACTTTTCCTTATAAAAATGTATTTTTTTTAGTGATGACGTCAAAGACATCGGCTACGATGATATTCAGTGTCGCTTATCATTGTTTAACATTTGAGTCGGATTTTTAGCCTAATAATCTAGTGATTGCCGTATGTCGTCGGTGTCGTCCGTTATCAATGCCCCTTAAATAGTTAAATATAAAATCCTAATCATGATATGTACAAGCGTTGTCTTATTTACGTAATCATTTTAGGTGTTTTGTAAAATTGAAAAGAGATAATGAACTGCCTAGTTGGTCTAGCTAATAACAGCTGGTTCTGTACTGTACACACAGTGAGCAAGTAATATTAATACTTATTTCAATTTCAAAATACCATTTGTTCACGCGTAGTTGTGGTGTCGTGTGTTTTATTTTGCAGTCCTATCTATGTGTAAAATGAAATCATTAATGACAATTTCTACAATACTGCCTCATTGGCCGAGTGGTCGCAAGTGCGACTGCCGGGCAAGGTGTCTCGGGTTCGATTCCCGGGTCGGGCAAAGTATTACTGGGTTTTTTCAAAAAACCCCAGTAGTAGCACGGAGTCTGGAATAGTGCCCGGTATATGGCAATAGGCTCATCCTATTACATGGGACTCATAACATAAATCGTGAAAAGTGGGTGACTCGTCGAGTACCGGTTTTGTAGACACAATTATAGAACAATAGGTTGCGGTCACCGGTGACCGCTTGGTGTTTGACAGTTTAAATTGTACAGTGGCATTAAGTGCCGTAATGTGCACCTCTGCCTACCCCTTCGGGGAAGACAGGCGTGATGTTATGTTCTACAATACTGTATGAATAAGTACGTTAACCAACGTTTCTAAAGCATTAATTACCATTAGTCATACATTCGAGTATAGAAACTAGGTAGTTGCGAAACGTATCAACGAACCTAAAACTTGTTTACTACATGACGTACACACAAAAGAAGTAGTTTTGACTATAATAAACATGACGTACAAATCGCTGCTAGAAAAACGGATGGAACAGGAAAAATCCGGCGATTTATCAGATGACCCCAAACGTATGAATATATATTATGTACAGATATTTAAATTAGTACAGTAGTTGTTCTTGTGTATAGAGAATATTAATTAATGTTATCGTGAAATAGCTTACCCGGCTAGAACACACAGCGCGGCTGATATGATGTGTGTGCGGTTGTTTGGGACGTATTCAACGGTGGTCACGATAGATTTGTTGCAAGTGGGGCAAGTCGTGCCGGACGGCCCGGGGCCCATTTTGGCTGGACGGGATCCCGGTGCGGCACCCGGTGTCGTGATCACTGTAGTCCGTGGCCCCGTGGTTGGGGGGACCACTAATCCGGGTGGTGGAGGAGGATTGTCACCGAAGTACGATGGCGGTGGGGCAGGGTTCGGTCGCGTTTGTTCGTAAGGTGGTGGAAGACCCATTTTGTTTTCCACTGAAACATTAGAAAAATATATTTAGTATTTGCAATTCGTACCCTATTTTGAGAGGTGATTAATGCGGTTACAACGAATCATTATTAAAACAAATGTGCGTTACAGTACCTAATTTGAAGTTGCTGCGAAATGCAGGTCAAGTTACAAGTTTCTATTGTAGACCTTGTTTAGTTTAGTTTGTTAAACATTGAGATAAGCCCAAATTAAAATCGCAGTTTGGTTACGATTACTTGAAATATTAATTTGTTTTTCTGTTGTAACGTTAATATTTATACCGAACGTTATGTTTATAGGTCTATAGCTATCTACAAGTCACTGAATGAGTCACTGTAAGTAGAATTCATAAACGCGAGTTCTCTAAACAGTTAATCGATTTAAAGGTCGTGATTCCCAAGACTGTCGTTGTAATGACGATACCTACTTCTTTTTGACGTTGGTTGGTTCTTTTTAACTGATGACTTTGATGTTTTTTCACGCAAATTATAGTATCGTTGTTATTATAAACCGACAAAGCTTACCAAACCTTCATTAAAGAATTTTGAACGGTTACTTAATTGAAGGAAGAGTTTACAACAATTCGTGTCGGTCTGTTTCAGTGTTCCACTTTTCTAAGTCATTTTATTGTTTAGGACAATACAGGTAATATCGAATCTCACAATACAATTCGAAGTTTTACAATGTTTGTTTCACGATGAATATTTTATATTTATTTAGCTAATTAAATGCTAGTAGCCTTGTCTTGGAAGGCCGATGTAGGAAGCAGAATCAACAATGACTAAATTATGCATGATTTACATGTAACATGGAGTTAATATGTTGATAAACCTTAGTTGTAATGTATTGTCCGTTCACTGGACAATGTTCAGTTTAGCTGTCAGTTGGGGATTATGATGAAATTACAGGTTGTGATATTCAGGGCGTGACAGCCACAAGGCTTCATAGAACGTATAGTGGTACCACCGGTTGCTTCAAATTATCGACGATAAATTGCGATTTCATAGAGTTCATTAGGAAAATTTTAATGCTGGCTGAGAATAAATGACACTCGTTCACGATTTTATATCAACAGCATTATAACTTTTTGATGATTTCGCAAACAAAATTCAAAGTAAAGAACAATATCTTTTTTAGCAGATGTTGCTTTATTTTTGAATACGATTGTTGTCTTAACAAGATAAGAGTATGTTTGCATTGTTTATTGTTTACTTTGGCAGCGGTCGGAAGAGGTACCTTTTCTAATTTTATGGCAGTTCAAGTACGATCAAAAACAAAAGGAAAAATACGAATAGTTTTTTTTTTAGTTATTGAAGATACGCGAGTGCCATTATACCCTCTACCTACCTACTTTAAGTCTCATTAATGAAATAGGTAAGTGTTAAAGATCACGTTTTTGGATATGACCAATGTTCTATTCGCGGTTTTTATAATAGTGACTGTACTGTACGTATCTAGAACCAGTTTAACTTACTTGTGGCGTCCATCGTGTGATGAAATTTAACCTTCGGGTGATTTCTTAATCCTCTATTTAAATGTTACGTCCACACAACACTTGCAAACTGTTAGTTTTAGCCAAGAGACCAAGACTCGTAATGTCGCAATCGAATTAAATATTATTACACAATAAAATATTTTAGGAATATCGTCTACGTTGTGATCTTGCGCGGTTTACTCTGTGAGTGAATGCACTCAAAGAGTGCGCGGGCGCATTACGTCACGACTGCGGGACAGAGACCTCCCACGATCTCTGAACGAGGAAAGAGATAGAGAATGTGTCGTCACGTAACTTGTTGTTTACGTCGAATAAACTTACTCGTTTGGCGCCTAATTACAATATAGTAACCAAAGCGCAGTACTAGTTGGTGAAGTATCCGTATAGTGCGCCGGCTGCACGGTGCACATCACACAGGGGACCGCACTACTTGGCACCTGCACGGGGAATCTCGTGGCATTGTCTAGCGCCAGCATTGTTGATGCGGAATGGATCGTTAAACTTACCTATATGGTATGCGCAGGCATTTAACAATTGACATCACAGGGGGCCACCCACAACGATATTATATTGAGTCGGGGAGTCGACTGAATTTTCTTATTATGATATTCACCAATACTATGACGTAAACTCTCTATTGGTTTTTCCTAAGTTTTTTATATCTACATAAATAGTAGCAGTACCTCAAATACAGCAAGATGTTGTTTTGTTCAGGCGCTTAAGAATCGTCTCGGTCCATGATTTCTATGCAGCGATGCACCGGCGCCGGAGACGTGAGCTAGAGCGGTGCGGCGTAGAATTGCATAATAACAACGATCTATGCAGTATGTCTGTTTTGTTTGACAGTTTGTGACGCAAACAAGATAGTACTATACTATACTATACTATACTCAACATATACTATACTAGATGTTGAGTGCTTTTGTATATTTTACTACAATCTTTGATTTGAGGACTTAATTCATTTGACTGTTAATTGACTTTCAAATTGACAAAATAATTTATTTGAACAAATTAGGTACATATGAATTAATCAATCAATTCAAAATCAATTACGTAATGTTCGGATAAAAACTGCCTCGTTCGATTTGATCGGTCATGAGTTCGATTTCCAGTTTATTGGATACTTCCGTGGTTTCTTCAGTTTTTCAAAAAATGTTATTAACTAATAGCCCGGAAGGATCACCTATGCTATAAATAGCAAGTAGTCTCGCTAAAACTCGAGAACGGCTGAACCGATTTGACTAATTTCGGTCTTGAAATGTTCGTGAAAGTTTAAAAGAGAAGGTTTAAAAGGCGAGAAAAAGGCGGCGCGAAGTTGGTCAGCTAGTAATAAACAAATATGTTTGTTTGTTCACATTAAGTTGCGGTTAAATATTTAAGCCATAGCTCGTTACCTCCATAGAAGAGGCCTGCGGGCGACTGACTAGGGGAGTAGTCTTCCCTTATATGGGCAGGAGTACGCGTTAGCGTTGTGGTCCACGCACGTCACTCGAGGAAGGAAATCGCAGCCTCTGAGGGTTGCTACGTGGTGAGACCTGCCGCAATAAAGCGGTAGGTCGAGGCCTGCCGTTTGCGGTGAATCCGGGTCGCCCTTGCTTATCGGGTCACGGCCTCAGGCAGAGGAGGAATACCGCGGTAGTTTTAGCCGGTCAGAGTCCAGCACAACCCCGCGTCGTCCTCACGACGTGGGAAGTCCATGAGGATTTCCATCGCGTTATAAAAAAAAGCCGTAGCTTGTTGCGCGTAGTTTGTAGCACGTAGCGGCATTTTCTGCTATAAATTTCGCAGGCGTGCGACCAAACCGTGGGCTCAACTAGTGACTCAGCTGCATGGAAATAGTTTACAAACTCAACATCCTAGTCAAAATCAACATACACCTTAGTTTGACATCTTCTCGAGATGCAAAAAATATCGGTTTAGCTTAGTATACAAGCATACATTTTGTGCAAGAGGAGTACTGAATCCGTAGTAACCTTTTGAATTGTTGTTTTGCTCACCAGATAGCACGAATGTAGAAGGATATTTTTGGTCAATCACAGCAGCTGTCAAATATTGAATGCCCACTGGTGTGGCACTAGCTAATTGCCTATTGGACGAAGAACGAGAGGCTCACACTGGCGCCATCTGGTGAGTATCATTGAGACTGGTAGGCTCTGGTAGGCCCCATTAAGACTACTGTCGACGCTTACAATGCGTAAGCGTTAACACTCTCGCTAAATTAATATGTATAGAACTGGCAGTAGTGTAGTCGTATCAACTGTTTGCATTTTAATAGTTTTCGCTTTTTCGCTGGAGCACTTTGGTAGTATTAGACAATTTTGTATAACGTCGTATGCACCAATACATGGTTTAGGTTTAGGATGTAAGTATTATTAGTTTGTTTTGAGAATGTAAACTGCCATCTATCTATCTTTCTGTAAACCACTTGATTTTCCGTTGAACTAAAGCTCAGTGCGTACGCTTTTGGGCGGGCGGAAAATTGAACATGACACGAGAGGGCAGTTGTAGCGGCGGGCGGAACCTAGGGGTGCGCGCGCACCATTACATAACGGTAGCAGAGGCTTTGCGGGCGCGCGCAGCGGCGGGTGCGGGGCGCGGGGCGATCGATGCGCGCCCGGGGGGAGTCAGTCGAGCGGCGAGCGAGCGACATGGCGGCGCGCCCACCCCGCGCGGCGGCCCCGCGGCCCGGGCCGCGCGAGTAGGTCGCCATGCGCGATGCGGTATGAGGCAGCGCC